GTTCCTCTCAGAAAGCCCATGTGTGCAATGATGGTTTCTAAGCTGTGCTCTGATGTTTACAGAGCACTGTAGGCTCTTCCCATTAACATACAACTGTATAAGACAGGTTGAACTCCATTAGGAGCTAAATTTAGTGACTCGCTAACTTCTTTCTGATATGTTTTTATAATTTCATTGTATTATGACACTTGGGTTTAAATTTGCATGAGTAAATGAGCCTCTCACCAAGTCAGGTAAAAAGATTTTTCACTTTATCTACCATGAAATAAGACATTAAAAAAATGGTGAGAGCAGAAAGCAATGTATCCTTGACATATTTAGTTTACATTTGTTTCAACTGTGCTGACGGAACATTTCTAACCATTAGTGATACAATGAAGCTGTTTGTGCTGCTTTAACAGGCTATCGGATTTCACATTATGAAGACATTTTGTAATTAATTTAGTATTTGGGGGGAAAACATTGTTTTTGAAAATACAAATTTACATTTAAATACATTCACAATCCAAATTGTAAGATGCAGTGAGTGCAAGGTTGGACCAGATGATCCTTCAGGTCTCTTCCAGCCTGGGTTATTCTAGTCTAGCCCAGTCCATCCCATTCCATATGGTCAGTGAAGCTCCTGCAACTGGTTGAAGGTCAGACTTCACACCTTCATCCCTGCCATCACAGGGAGTTCCAGCAGCTTCTGTTCTACTAACATGGATTTACAGTCCGTATTTAAGACACATCTGAACCTGTTATTCAGGATAACCTTGGCAAGACCTGAACGGCTTTGAGATCTGCAGTTTAAAGGTATTTTTCCCCTCTTGTTTCCTATCCAAGGAGAGGAGAGAGACCACCCAGGCTCCCGCTGCTGGTGGGATTTGGGTGATGTATCTGGGCAGAGGCCAGCATGGCAAGAGCATCCCTCTGTTTCAGGTGGGCAATTAGCAGCAAGGAGGTGGCAGTGATGCTCATCTGGTCCTGACCTGTTCTGTGGTGACCAGATCATGTGGAGGTGAAAGTCCCTCTGTTAATTATGTGGCTTTTTGCTCTCCCCAGCTCTTGACGTCACCGGTTTTAATCTGTTTGTCTCATTGATTTTTTTCCCTTCTCCTTTCCCCCCCCATTTCATTAATAGTGACAGATGCTTTTAATTAAAAAGAAAAGGCAAAACAAAATCCTGAGTAAAACAAAAAGAGAATATTCTAATTTGGCATGACATTATGAGGCAGAATGGCTCCTGGCATGCAAGGTATGGAAAAGGTCATCTTCCACGGCTACAGCCTTTTGCAATGGTGGAATTAAGTTCAAACTCAGGCTGGTTTTGAAGTCTTAAGTCTCTCCAGGGATTCCTTTCATAACATCTTCGAACTGGATAACACTACAGTAAATGAAATACACTGCACTGGATTAAAGGGTTATTTCCCCTGTGTGTCAAGCTGACACAGAATACCAAACCTCAGGTTGCCTTCGAGTTGTCTCTATCTGCTGATACCCTCTCTGCTTCCCATAACAGCTCTTGGAGTTTGTGCAGGGAAGTTTTGTGATTATTTATTTGGCTTTGCCGCTTGGTGAATGTGGAACGATTTTATACAACAAGGAACCAAAATAAAGCAACTAAATGGAGAAGGAATTTAATGGGCTGAAACACGTGAAGGAAGCAATGCAGGAAAGAGCAGAGCTGCCTCTTCAGGTCTATACACTGCTTTATAATTTATACTGAAATACAAAATATAGATCTCCGCATTGCCACTCGTATGTTCAGCAGCACAGAGCTTGCAATAACGACAGGGTATGATATACGCTACTGAGCTCTTATCTGACTGTACCAACAGTTAAAATTTGTTAAGGATCATTTGCAATGTGTTTTGTTGTAGAACAAATGTTCATTTTGACTTTGAACTTGGTGTATGCTGTAGCTTGCGCAGATTGCGTTTAGCACCGGGTAACCAAACCACTGCCATCTGCACAGTGCCAGGGACCACCGTGGCTGAGCTCCAGAGCACGTCCCTCCCTCTCCACACTGGGGAAGAGATGTGTGGATTTAAACATTGACGTGTCAGCTCCTCTAGCTCCATCATGGCATGCAGAAAAGGTCTTGGGTCTTCCTTTCCCTACCAAAACATGGATTAAAGGCCACTCTGAAATGATGGAGCACCTGTAAAACACTGATGGTGCAGTAACTTTTCTGGCACTGAAAAAGAAAACTCTTTCTTCTCCCTTCTTGCCTCTTCCCATTTTATTTTGTCCAAAGTGGCCCAAGGCTGGCTTTCTCATATGGAAAACTGGAGTTTTCTTGTAAAGTGTATGTATAACATAAAATGCATCCCTCCCTATTCTTGATACGTTGGGGGTTGGTAAAAACAGGGCACTGTGCTCTGTACGTCGGTGTGTACCTCTGGTTTCTGTACTCAGTATTGAATCTGTCTTATGTCTGTGTGGTTCCACATCCTCCCACACAATTTTCTCTGGATTTTCTTAAGGATACCACTGGAACAAACACTACCAACTGCTGCTCCTCTCAACCAACCCCAAAACTCTCTCCTTGATGGCTTATGGGATTGGTGAGGGCTGCTGCCCATGCTGCCTGCTCTTCACGGCGGTGGGGAGAGAGGCTGGGCTAATGAAAAGTAGGATTTGAAACATGGTTTGTCTCCATTAGCTTTTGGGATATGATGCGGGCTGGCTGGGACCTGCGTGCTGACCTTGGGCTCCATGGAGGACGTTCCAGCGGGAGCTGCATGTGCTGGCAGGGGGTTTCTGCCGGCGTGCTCCTCGAGGAGGTGTCTCTGCAGGCATCAGGTCCCTCCGTTTCCAAGTGTTATTCACATATGAACACCCACATGCATTAAAAACATTTTGGAAGCGATAGTTTGGGGTTTCTGTGGTCCATGAGTAATGAAAGCCAACAGCATTTTTAGATTTACCTCTCGCTGAACAATCCGGGAGCAGAAGCAGGGGCAGGGAATTTGCATGTGCTGCTTTTCTGGGTTGGCTGGAGGTATCGGCACGCTCCCGCGCCGCAGCCTTGAGACGGTCTGTGTCTTTCCAGGAGGCCTGAAATCTCTCTGGAAAAGCTGGGACATATTGGAAATCTGCTCCGAGCTTTAGCACTTCCTCCGGATTATTGCTTCAAGCATTCAAAAATATATTTTATAACACTAAAATAAATGTTAATGAGTCTGCATTGCTTATGGCTAACAATAGTGTTTCTATTTAAATAGAGCAGCCTAGCAGGGCGGGCGTTCAGCGGTGGAGGAGCTGGATGAGGAGACCTGGCTTTTTGTTTCTGACTTGATCCTTGATGTCTTGAGCAGTTTTATTCTCTTGTGCTTTACTTATTCCCGTTCTGCTAAATAGCGGTGAAAAGCTTCCTCGCTTTGTTAAAGCGCCTGGGGTTTATCAAAGGCCTCTGGGCAAGTGTTAAATACTGATCTGGGTATAAAACCTGATATTTAGTATTATGTTTATACCTCTTCAATGTTAGCATGTATTTTTATATACTCCTTGCAGTGACCTTTGTGCTTTTCCAACCAACTGAGGCTGGAAAATGAGTCTCCTTGACTCAGGGATCTTTTCTTTTCCCACCAGCAGGAATGGCACCTTCTTAGTAATTGTGTAAATATGGGTTTTTTTGGGGGTGCTTTTGGTGTTTGGGCTGGGGCTCACAGTGCTGGAGATGCCAGTTACATACAGAAGATGGAAGAGTAATCATGAGAAAAATGATAGCATGGAAGTCAGCTCCTTTCATCTTTGTTCTTTTTTTCGGTTGCTTACAATGAAATGTAAGCAGTTGAAAGCAATGAAATGTAAGCAACTTAGCATGTAGGGACAGGCCAAGGGGAATGGCTTTAACCTGACAGAGGGGAGATGGAGATGAGCTCTTAGGCAGAAGCTCTTCCCTGTGAGGGTGCTGAGGCGCTGGCACAGGGTGCCCAGAGAAGCTGTGGCTGCCCCATCCCTGGCAGTGTTCAAGGCCAGGTTGGACACAGGGGCTTGGGGCAACCTGCTCTAGTGGAAGGTGTCCCTGCCCGGGGCAGGGGTTGGAGCTGGATGAGCTTTAAGGTCTCGTCCACCCAAACCACTCTGAGTCTATGAAATTACTGCTGAAGGATCTCAACTGCCTTGTTAAGTGGATGGTGATTTGGGGAGGCAAATGGGGAGGAGGTGGCTATCCCAGGGTGAGCTGGGGAGCCTTGGGCTGCCTTAAAGAGCCTGCTCAGGAGCAGGGCACGGAGTCAGCGGTGGGAGAGGGGTAGGAGTAGATGGGGTGGCAGGAATTCAACCTTGGCATCATGTCAGAGGCACCGAGCCCTTCCCTGAGCAGCTGCATACCCCACGACTGGGAAGCCAAATGGTTTGTTTGTGTGTTTACATGGATATGTGGGTCTGTGTAGGGGAAAACCACTTAGCAGAAATGCTGCTATTAAAGCCGATGGTGGGAGATTAATCTGGGATTTAGGGTCTTCCTCCTTGCTGGTACAGTGACCAAATTATGCATTCCTTTCTGTGCTAGGAGTCCTTTCCTCGTTACAGGGTATGGAGGAGTTGTGATTCCTGAAACTCTCAGCTCTTCTCTTGCTTTCTCAACAGCAGTTGAGCTGACGCAGCTCAACTTTTGGGGTGCAAAAGTGTGTTTGTTGGGTTTGTTTGACCCGTGCTCTTTCCACACTGTTCTCTGCTCAAGCCTTTTCCCTGTGCTCCCATGTGGTCTCGACCCATCTCAGTTTGGTGGGCAGCTGCCTCCTCCTGCAAACCCATGGAAGCCCCTCTGCTGCTGTTCCAGTGCTGGTTGTTATGCTAGATTATTTTTTCCCCTTTTCCGTTATAGAAAATGCTCCTTTCCCCCCCTGCCATATCACTGACAGCTGCTTCCTCCTTGACACTTGTGATATGTGTGTATGTGCATGAAAACAGTAGGAAGCATTTATGTAGGTGTCACTAATTTAATTTAATCTGATATGGATGTATAGAGAGGACTGTGGTGCACTAAAATCCTTCTCTTTATTTTACAGTCTCCATCGTCATCAAATACAACTCCTTTCATTCTCCTCTTCCATTCACCTACCCAAAGACCAAATCTGGAAATAGTAACCAAAAGAGAAGCCCACGTCATACACAAAGCAGGGAAAGATTGAAATAATTTAAGGGTAAGTAATCTTTTTTACCCTTCTTCTAACTTGCAGCTTTGTGTGTAAAGCTACAATAGTAAGGGCAAGGCTGGATAAAGAAGCTGTAAAGCAAATACCCAGCTGCTTTATGTGTAAAAATGACTGAAATGCTGATTTGGTGGTGTAAGCAAGGTATAGCAGCACCTTTGGCAGGTGAGAAAGAGCCCTGAAGGGCAGCGTGCTGGCATCTTGGAGTGTTGGCACTGTTTGTTCTCACCCTGGTTTGATCTGTGCTTCTGTCTAGGTAAAGGTCATGTCCCTGCATGGGTCATGGGCTTTGTATGGGTTTGGCTGGTTGGAGATAGCTTTCCAGTGGAGAAGGAGCTGGGAGTTCAGCATCTCCAGCTACTGAAAAGCTCATTTGTCATCTCCTCCTCTCTTTTCCACTTTAAACATTACTCAGCTGTGGTTGCAAGCTACGGTTGATCCGTTTGCGTGGGGCAGGATGTTTTGGCTTGCTGTTGCTTTCTGCAATCCCCTGGGTGCTGTGGGCTCCGTGAGCTGTTCCTGGAGAGCAACCTGGTGGTGCCAGTGCCAGGATATTCCAAAGGGAAGCGCTGATGGGGGTGGAGGAGGGACAGACCTGAAGGGCAGAGTGTGGAGGGCCTCTCAGTGGAAATGTTTGCCTTAAGGCTTTTCTTTTGCTGTGAAGGTGGCGAATAAGATAGGAGGAGATAGAAAATCAGCTTCTGTGATTCAGACCCCTGGGTGAAGCATTAGTAATCTCCAAATGGTAGGGAATGCATTTTCCCACCCTAGTCCCAGGTCTGTGCCTGCATATATTGCATTTCCACACATGCTCTTTCGTAGATGGACAGGATATGTGTTCGCTTACATTAGAGAACTTAGCTTTAAACATCTGGGTTTTCTGGTTTATTGCTGCCTTTTTTATATCCTGGTGTTTTTTTTTCTTACCCCTGCAATGTTTGTTCATGCAAAATTCATATCTGGGAAGGGCATCTTAAATCCCTGCTTCTGAGTCAAAAAGGGAAAGTATGGAAGTGAAAAGAGAGATTGTATCATTTAAGAAATATGATTCATGAATTAATCCTCGTCTGCTACACCATCTGTGGCATGTGTTTCAATACAAAAATCCTGTTTTTATATCTCTTTAAAAAGCTTTCTTCTTGCTGGCTGCCCGAGTTTTCTGCAACACTAATGGGGAATTAGCTTCTTTCTGGGGAGAGACTGGTGGTTTTTAGTCACAGCCTGGGCAGGGGACCCCAACCTGTGTCCAAGCTGTGCGTCACTGGAGGGGACACAGGTTTTTGGGGTGACAGCTCTCTGTGTAATGCCATGAGTCTGACTTGACTGCAAAGCCTGTACACGACTGCTTTTTGCATTGGAAGTATAGCTGGGTCTTCCCACCGCCGTGGTGGGGATGGTGCAGGAGATGGGCAGGAGTTGCAGGCAGCTAACTAGATTGTTCTGCACAGGAGTGACAAATGAGTCATGGGTTCTAGAAGTGGACTGGCAGGGTATTTTGTACCTGGTGCTCTGGAACACAAGGGATCGAGGTAGTCCCCATCCTCTGTTTCTTAGTAATGATGCTGTAATCTCTCTGTAGATACAGAGAAAGGGTTGCCCATCATTGCCCCAAAGAGGAGCTGCTACACTTCGTGCCTTCATGAGAAATAAAGGGGCACTGGTGGGTTTTGGGGTGACTGGAAAAGAGTCTTCTTTTTTAATTTGATTCCTGGAATTGTTCTGCAGCCTTTTTACAGGGAACAGTATTCCTTTTATTCCTTAAGCTGCACACCTGGTTTGCTGCTGGAGTCACGCCTGAGGGGTGGGAGCCTTTTTTTCTCCTTTGCATCAGGGTCCATGAGCATTTCAGCATGTGTATCCCTCACTGGTCCCTTTCCTTGATCGGTCCCTTTCCTGGACCAGGGCATCATCTTGCTGCCAGGGGTTGCTCCATCAGTTTCTCCTCTGCTCCACCTGGGACACAGGTAAAAGCTGGAGTGCTCTTTCCCTTGTTCTGGAGGAGCATCCCAGGATGCTGGACATGGTGAATGCCTGTTACCCTTGCCACATCCCACGGTGGCCTCAGCCCATGACATGGCAATGTACCCACATGGCTGCAGCCTCTTCTCTGCTGGGGTCACTAATGTACTGTAAGTACAGCTCCGGTGAGCTCCCAGGCGCTGATAATGCTGATAGATGGAGGTTATCCCGGAACTCCGTACCAGTGGTGAAATATTGCAGGTTTATTGCCTTTCCATTCATTTTGGTTTCACGCCTTTCTGCCTTCCTGACTCATTGCTGCTCGGCCTCTGCTTGCAGTTTCTATTTGCTGTGGGAACACCCACTGGACAAGGCGGGAGCGTCGCAAGCACTGATGTGATGCTTGCAATAGCTTTTGGAGCTTTCCTGCTTTTTAATTGAGCAGCTAAAGGCGGGACGGGTGACAGAAAGGAAAACGTTAGTGATGCCTTTTGTCACAAGCATGAATAAAGTATTCAAATGAAGGAGCAGCAGCAGAAATGCCTCTTGGGTTGTGTGTGGCTGGCTGGTGTAGGAGTTAGGCTGAAATGGCCATCCCTATATTTAGCATAGGCTTTGTCCCTAAAGGCCTCCTCGCTGAAACTGGCTACCAAGACAGTATCAACAGTGGGAGATGCTCTGCCCCATACCCAGGGCTGAGCATATTTAGGCTCTTGCATGATCCCTAAGAAATGTTCTCCCTTTCCCCTCTATTACAAATCCCTTTCTGCCTGCTCATTTGGGAATGTGTAACTGCGCACAATTCCACAAGCACCAAGTACCCCAATGCTACCGTAAACAGGGAAATAATCTCAAGGGATGTTTAACCCAAAATGGAATTAGACTGAATTACAGACTTCTGCATGGAAAACGCTCGTGGAAATGCAAACCAGAACAGCACCCAGCTCTGTGTCCATCTCACACATGCACACACACCTTGTCTTTCACGGCTTTTGTTTAACTTGAGCTACTTGTGTGCCTTTACAATATTTTGCAGTTTTGCATATTCCTTAATTGCTTCAATCATTTTCTTTATCTGGGTTTCTAAGTTGGCTATTCTTTATCTGCTGCATGCTGTAGTCTGGGGTCTGTTCTGTGAACCTCCACCTCTGCTGGGTGTTTGCTGCTGCCTCCTGTGCCAGCTGCTGCACAATCCCATCACCACCATCTCCGTAAAAGGAGGGTTATGGACCTTGAGAAGGTCCTGTGCTTACACAGCCAGCAATAGCATCTTGCAAACATCTTTCAGACCCTACAGAAGTTCTGCTAGTAAAAGAAACGCAACAAAACCAAGCACTAAACCACAGAAATTTGACCACAAATGGGAAAAGAGAAGCAGTCCAAGCATTTTCATAAGCGTATTCCATTAGCCATGGGGTTTTACTTTTTATTTCAAGCTCTTATTAAAATTCAGCAGCTTTTATTTAAAGAAAAAAAGGGAAATGTTTATGCTCAGCATAGGCTCTTATTTCCATCACAGTGTGAGCCTGTGAACATGGGGTCCAGTGGATCTCCCCTGGTTTCTCTTCCCTCCTTCCAGTGTCCCCCCCATCAATGCGGGTCCCTGCCTGGGGCTGGGAGGGTGATGATGCTCAGTGGTAGAGCACACGTGACAGCAGCCAGTTTCTTGTGGGAAGCTAATGAAGAGATGAGAAGCATCGATTCCCCTCTATTTGTTAGGACCCTAGTGAAACAGCTGTTTGTTTCTCATAAACAATTATGCCAAGACGGAAATTGGCTTGTGTCTGTACGTACTTTTTGGATGGGGGAAATTAAGCAGTAATAGCTGGAAAAATAATATGGGCTATGAGATAATAGATGCCTAAGGGATAAAATTAAACAGTATTTTACAACGAAGGAAGAGGTTTTGGCAATAAATAGTTTGCGTTTGACTTCGTTTTGTTTGCCAGAGGACTGATGCTGTTTGGGAGAGGTTGTCCTGGGATGTGTTTTCCAAACAGACGTAGGAAAATAGTGAAGGTATTTTTATTGTTTTTGTTCCTTCCAAGAAGGATGGAGCCAAGGCCGGGGTGCAGCTCACACTTGTCTGCACCACCACTGTGTTGGCTATGATAGGGATATGGATACCAAGGCTTGCTTCGAGAAACGCTGCTAGTGCAGAAGGATGCTTAAAAGAAAACAGCAAGGTTCAACAAAGTGGACACAGGAGTTGTTTGAAATGCCATAGGGAGGCCTAAAAGCACAGGAAGGGGAAGTGGTGTGTCTGGCCCCATGACAGGGTCGAAACAGAGTTTATTCATAGAATCATAGAGTAGTTAGGGTTGGAAAGGACCTTAAGATCATCCAGTCCCAACCTCCCTGCCATGGACAGGGACACCTCACGCTAAACCATCTCACCCAAGGCCTCGTCCAACCTGGCCTTGAACACCGCCAGGGATGGAGCCTTCACAGCCTCCCTGGGCAACCCATTCCAGTGCCTCACCACCCTCACAGTAAGGAACTTCTTCCTTATATCCAATCTAAACTTCCCCTGTTTCAGTTTTAACCCATTAGCCCTTGTCCTATCACTACAGTCCATAATGAAGAGTCCCTCCCCAGCATCCCTGTAGGCCCTCTATTCAGGATGCATGTGTGCTGGTGTGGCGCTTGGCTGGCTTTGGGCTGCTGCAGAAGCCCCTTTCCAGTAATGCAACGACAACGGGATGTGGTTTGGCTCTGCCACCCCTGCACTACGTGCTTTTCCATACCTGCTCTGTGAGCACCTTGCTGAGGGGTAATGCTGTTTTCACTGTTTCAGGTGGCTGCTGCTGCCATCTCTTCCAACTTCTGCATAGGGGATGTGCAGAGTCAGGCCAGCCAAGTGCCTGGGCACCATTGCAGGCCGTATTTCCTTCCTCCTCACCTTGTGGGAAATAAAGCACCGGTCAGAGCTGTAAACCCTAATCTCATCCTCCTGAGGACAGATCCAGGTGCAGCAGGTCGAGATCTGAGGTCTTTGGCTCATGCTTATCCCTGCTCTCAGCTTTCAATCT